AGCCTTGAAGTAACAAATGCATGGACTAGTTTCTCAGCATCACCCCTGGACAGGATGCTGGTGAAGATGCTCAGTCATCCAGGTCATTGTAATTCCAAAAAAGTTAAAAAACAATCCACTGGACTTTGTTTCCAAGTTTGAAGATCCAAGAAGCTTTCTCAATTCAAAATCTTAATTAGCATTGAGATCCAAGCTTTATGGAGTAGCCCATAACAAAGCCTTGCTTTGGCTTAGAAAACATGCAAATTGAACCAAACGAACAGGTCCGCCCCTTAGGAAGTGGGAGTCATTTGGGTATAGGATATTTCTAATTTTCTCACTCCTCAGTGTGAGCATAAAAAATGGACCTGGTTCTGTTGGATTGTGTCTCCATGGTAACCTGTCAATGTTCAGACAATAATCAGATAGTCTAAACCAGGGGTCACCAACCTTTTTAAGGCTGAGGGCCACTTCAAGGGTACCGAGACGTAGGAAGGGCGACCATTACTGACCCATGAGCTGCAAGGGTTAGCGTTAGCCTAAGCTTTGTTCATTCTCAACATATTTTTATTGTTTCTGTTAATTTCTAAGTTTATTTAGACATTGTCATTTTTGAAATCTCTATAAATGATTAAAAAGAAGAGCAACAGAATAAAATAAAATTTCAAACTTAGCCCACTGGTGGGTTGGTCTTTATTTAGAAGTCTCTGAGGGCCCCCCATGTGGTCCTTGAGGGCACCGTGTTGGTGACCCCTGGTCTAAGGAGACAGTCCCTGTGGATGTTCTGCAGATGTTCTGACAGGTTTGGACTTCCTTCAGCTCCTCTCTCTGCTGCAGATTTCCAGCCTCGCCGGCAGCAGGGCGGCGCAGCATTCGGGACGATGAAGAGGAGGCTTCCTGGAGCTTCGCTGATCAACCCCGGCACCAAGAGGTAAATCTCAGTCGGACCTCCCAGCCTGGTACCAGCTGGACCTCCGTCTGACTCTGGATCAGCAGCTTCTGCTTTCTGTTTCTTCCAGGAAGATCCAGGCGACTGGCGTGGCCTTCGATGATGAAGAGGAAGATTGATGTTTTAATCGATTTTTTGGAACTTTTTAAAATCTCACTGGATGAAATGTTTTTAATTCTTATTGATGATGGGATGCGTTTTAAATTTGGATAAATGTAGTCTCCTTCCTTCAGTGTGACCTGTAACTTTTCTTTTTATTCCTCCTTTACTCCCTGTTTTATAGCCTTCATGGTGTCCTTGTTTCCTTCATTCTTTCCTTCCTTTCTGTCTCCTTACCCCTTGATGAGTTGTTGGGTGTGTCAGATTAAACAATCTGAGATCATTTTTATTCTAGTAAATAAAGAATCTCCACCATCTCTCTTTCCTGGGTGAATTTATGCTCACATAAAGCTTTATTAGGAACATCTGAGCCGTTTGTACATGGATGCACTGGTGTGAAAACAGGACAACAACCCAAAAGAAAAATAATCAACATTTCTGAGAAGAACAGTTTCCTCCTGTCATTCTCTAAAGAGATGGATCGTTACAGTAGAATAATGAAAACAGTTTCTGTTTGAATGACTGGTGGCTGCTGCTGCTGCCATGGAAACATCCTCCAGACCACAACCTGCTGAGTCATGTTAACTCCAGATTTGAAAGGATTGCATAAATCTGCTGCTGGTGACATGAATTACTGATCCTGCCGAGCTGATAAAGTCTTACGTTTATTTTTTAGACTAAACAGAAATGATCTGGTCTCTAAATGGATCCGATCCCCTTTATTTTGGCTTGGTTCTGGTTCCTGACGGTGGCATAATGACAGAAACCGAAGATAAATCCAGAAGCGCTGAAAGCAGCTCCTCCTCATCTCTACGGATCCTTACCTTTCACCCAGGTTCTGTGCAGGACCTCTACGGTGAAAGATGATGGCAGTGAGTTAAAACACACCTGAATCTTTCAGCTGGTTGCCATGGCAGCAGTGAGGATGGACCCAGCCATTGGTGGTTCTAGACAAAATATATCAAGCGGACATGATGGGGCCATTGTTGTTGTTTTGGGCGGGGTAGGTATATAGAACTAAAGAAAAAAAAAATCCTAGGATGAGAGTTTTTAGTATTATAAATGAGCCATAAAACTCAGGTTGCACACTTGATCTAAAAGATAAAAACTGTGATCATTTCTCAGAGCAGGTGAAGCTAAAGCTGCAATTTCTAAATAATTGTTAAAGTAAGCTGTCCAGGCAAAATATCCAATTGGTCCAAGGTACAAATCAGTTAGTCTCATCTTTCATCGCATATGATCATCACAAATTTATTTAGTTATACTGCAAAAACCGATCTACAAAGTATATTTTTAAATAATTGCATCTGTTTTATTGTGTGTGTTTTCAGTACAGGGCCATAAAAGGGGCCAGGACTAGTTCTACAGGGGCACAGACCCCTGTTGGCCCCCCGTCTAGAACCGCCTCTGGGCCCAGCTTCTGGATTCAGGTTCAGTTTTGCTTAAACGGATTATTGTTATATTTTTACATTCATAGGGAACCAGGAACTACACTGATTCCTGATTGTTTTATTAAGAGGAAAAAGTGAACATCAGACTCAGCTGGTACCGGTTTAAAACGGGCTGAATCAGGATCCAGTCTAACGGTACCATCATCAGCCAGCTTAGTGACGCCTGGGGGATGAGGAAGAAACACATTGCGACAGAACCTCAGCAGATATTCCATTTTCATGCCGACACATATCCAGAAGCTTGTTTTCTTTTTACATTTACATAAACCTTAGATGATGATCTTCTAAATAATGAACAGGTTGGTTCTGGTGGTCAGTCCTGTGGGCTGGGTTGGTTTTGGTTTTGGTGTCACAGTGATGGTGGAGTCGTCTCCTCCTGGACTTTTCTACATATCTTTACAGAAACAAACTTCAAGTGCACAAAATGATGAAAAGTTTAAAGCACAAAAGAGAATGAAGAAACACGACATTGGAGCAAGTTCATAGAAGGACGACGCCGACCAGGCGGAGCGGATGGCCTCTGGGGTCCGACGCCAGAAAGCTCCTCTCTAAACCTGCTGCTGGGGGAAGAAATCTCCCATCAGACTGCATGCTCTCTGAGTTTGGTGGAAAGGGTTCTGGTTCCTCCGCTGCTTCAGGTGCAGCATCTCATACATTCTCAGATAAACTGGATGGAAGGATCGTCCATCCTGCGGCTGCCTCTCTGCCTGCAGAGCTTCAGGATCAAACCGCTCCCCCAGACGGAGAGTTCTGGTCAGGGATCCCCTCTGCTCGCTCTCTAGGCCTCATTGGTCCAACAAAGTGGGATCGGTTCAGTCTCTCTGCTCCCGAGGTCCGCTTCTAACAGAGGGTGTCTGTGTTGAAGGAGAGCTGCACCTACAGACAAACAGAGCGAAGCATCAAAGACCCGAACGTAAATAAAGAGTCTTGTTTACCAATCAGTTGGATCGCATATGATAAAGATTTTACCCCAAATGAAACAGACAATACCTTTAAAAAATGGATAGAAAAGGGCTTAATAAAATACAATGATTTATATCATAAAGGCTGTTTGAGAACCTTTCAAGACGTTAAGCAAAAATATAGTCTTGATAATAGAGATTTCTTTCGTTATCTAAAAATCCAGCACTACTTAGAAAAAG